TTCATGTAATTAATATTTTCTGTTAAAAGCCCTTTTAGTTTCCTAAAAGACAATATTTGACTTCCATAAAAAGCAGCATCTTCAAACAAGCACTAGTTAAGGAGGTGAGCCATTTCTTCACTTGTCTCCTCAGGCAATAGCACATCTACTTGTTTCTGATAATTAATACATTTTCACCATGAAACAAACTTTGAATAAAAAAGACAATATCAGTATGCACTATCATCTCCATCCTAACTACTTCTCCTCTGATGATTTCTCCCGCTAAGGAATTGAGCATGAATTAACAATGAATACTGTAAAGTCTACTAAACCTCATCTTATTTTAATGACATGCTTTACTGAAGGACATTCACAATAAATGAATAATTAGTCTACTTGTGCTTCCTTGTATGTTCATCACATTTTATAGCTGCATACCAAAATTCAAAAGTAGCTACCAAATGGATGGGCACACTAAGGGGCATATTTAGAAACTATGTCAATATGTGAAGTTTGGTTTTAAAGTGAACCTCTGAAATGTGAAAAATTGTGTCTGCCTGCCTCACTGGCTTGTTTTTAAAGCTGCTGGTAGTGCAGGTCCGGGGCGGGAGGGGGGAATGGGGTGCACACGGTCTGTCAGGCATCCAGCCCAGTTCAATTACATTACTGGTTGCCAGGAGCTGGGGGGGGATGCCAGCAAGAGTGTTCCGCTTAGCTCCTGGAAACCAGTGAAGTCAGTGAGGGGGGTATGCTAGCTACAGCTCGCGGTATACTGAGAATCTGCAGCTGAAGCGGATGCCGACAATTATGTCTGGATCCGCCCAGCTGCGTGAGTGACAGCTGGCTCTGTCTATCTAGAGGCAGAGCTAGCTGTACCCGCCCCCTCCCCCGTCCGTTCCGCCAGTCAGCGCTGGAGGATCAGAGCGGGGAAGGGGGAATCCAGCCCCTTCCCTGTCACAGCAGAGAGCCGTGACAGGATCGTGAAGTGAGCGAACGCCGGTAAGTGTTCGCTCACTTCCCGATCTACTGAGCCGACCTGTGACAGTCTCATTGTCACAGGTCGGCTAGAACTATGAGGTGAGTGAAAAGCACTCACCGCATAGTTCTCCTTTAAGCAAAAAAAATAATTATCAGTTTTTTAATTTTCCTTGCGTGTACTCGGGTATTCTTCGTAAAGTCAATTTCCACCACATTCACTAACCTACGTGAAGATTCCCTTGCAAAGTAAAAATTCCCTTTGCAAAGTGTACAGCCTTTTTGCCTTTAGTAATTCAACCCCAATGTATCAAAAGAGTTTGCTCAGTATTCATTTGATGTTTGCAAGTTTTCTGGCAAAACTATACCTATGTTTTCATCACCGACCATGGGGAGTAGTCAGAGACCAACAGAAGAAGGTTGCCAGCGCAAGTAATGGAAATATTTGCTAAAGTCTGGCCGTTCAGAAGTAAATGCCTGAAGGGCTGAGGTAGAACTGCTGCCCTTTATAAACGAAAAGGTGGAAGCTGAAGTATTTCTGCATTATATATGGATTTATGTGCCTGTATAGACACATCCAAACAGGAAAGGCTCATAGCCAAACTGTTGTTATCTGACATATCCTTGTAAATCCCCAGGAAGAGTTCAGTTTGTTTTTACAGTAGGTCAAAGGGACATCAGAGTTGACTTCATTCAATCACTGCCACTATGATTAGTGGTCTTAAAATGGAGATAATTAGGTAAAAATGAAATCTGAGGGATTCCTGCTTAGCTTAACTTTAACACATTTGAAAGTAGCATTACTTTATGTCAATTTTCAATGATACAGCATAGGTGGCTTTGTAAAGAGACATGAGAGACTCAATACAAGTCTAGATCTAGCAGTAAAAATGAAAATGGAGGATGAATACACCTGAACAGATATTTAAGGGATTAAATGAGTGTGTTATCCGACCCCCTCTCCCACCCTTGCTATACTTACCTTTGGGCGTACACTTCTTCCCCTCCGCCAGTGCGGGTATACTATCCGTACCCATGCCATGTAGCACAGCCTTGTGCTTTGAATTTTGAATTTCACTTGCAAATGGCAAGCACTCATTGGTCAGCGTGGTCACCTGATGAGAAGCGCTTCTGACTGTGCAGACCAATGAGAAGCACGAAGCTCATGGGTGAGCACGGTCACAGCTCAGGGCTGTTCTACATGGCAGTATGGTGTAGGGTTTATTACAACCATACCGGTGGAGGGGAAGGAGCATTCGCCCAAAGGTAGTATAGCAGGCCGGAGAGGGGGCCAGATTGGAGGCGGTAATTTCATTTTCCCAAATTCACCTGGGAAAGTGGAATTACCCTTTAATAATAAAGGTGGATGTTCCATAACTAGTTAGGTTGTTGAAGCAAGAAAAGTTTTTTTTTTTACTTAAATATGTTTTTATAAGACAAAGTGCAATAATAGCTCTGTTTACTTCATGGCAAAACATATTTTACCAGACAATTCAAAACTTAACGCGTATTTAAGATACAAAGCAGAAGCAAGGCTTCTAATTATTTACCTAGGGCTCATTCACACCATGTCCGAACCATAACAGTTTGTTCCTGTATCAAAAACGCATCCCAATGTATCCCTATGGTTTTTCTGGGCTCTGTTCACACCAGCGCAGTCCATTCTGGTCCAGCCACAAAAATGATTGCTTGTCTAACTTTCTTAAGTCCGGACTGCACTGAAACGCATGCAAATGCATAAAAAAGCATGCAAATGCACTGGACTGCACCTGAAAGGCCATGTTAAGCTAAAAAAAAAACAATGCACCGGAATGCGTCAAAAAAGCGCACTGCACTGCATTTGCAGAGCTGCTCCAGATCTGGTCTGGACATGGTGTGAGCCAGTATTAGGACAGGTGGTGTTCAAATCTAGTTTAAAACTGATACCAAAATCTGTCAGCACAATATAGACAGGGTTAATCATAGCAAACATAACTTCCCACAGCCCCCTCCTTTACTATACATAGGGGAGAAGCTAGATAGGATTATAAAGTAAAAAAGCACTTGAAAAGGAAAGCAGCATTTAAAAAAAATATAATGTGAAGTGAATGGGAACATGTAACAAATATAAAGTAGGTATTATCCCAATTTGCCTGTAGTGGAAATACACTTTAAGAATTATAAAGAATACAGAAGGATTGAAGCACGATGTAAGGCAGTGCTTGTGTGAGTTTACAAAGAAGGAGACAAGTAGATCTTCTGCATGAGAAAGAGTGACACTTCTGCACCTCTGCATCTATAGGAGCAAACTGTTTTTTCCATGTAGGAATCCTTAACAATTATAGCAAATGAATGTCCTTGGCTGTCCAGGACAAAGACACAAAATATCAGTCTATCGGTGTATCCAAAAGGGATATTTCAGTTTTTGGTAGATGCTGAACAATTAAACTATGTGACAATTTCTTACATCTTTCAAGCACTCTATTAGAGAGTTTTCCATGCTTGACTTCTTCGGTCTAAGGAGATGTTGTTGGTGGAGTATCGAAGACATGAAGCTGGAAACTGACTCACCCAGCCTTCCAAGCTCCACATTCTAATAAAATATTGCTTTAGGTAGAGGTTGTACACTTACATGCAGACAGGGGTTATGGAATGGCTGTGAAGAAAACCGATAAAAACAAACACCAGTATTGAAAATACATGGAAATAAGGTCAAATGTTAATGAGGGAAGCTGTCAAATGTTAATGAGGGAAGCTGGTAATGGGATAGTCCACAGAAGATTTTTTTAATCCATCAGTGCAGTTCAGCTACATGACATTGTGCAAAAAGCAGCAGTTAAGAAAGCATAGATTTTGACCCCATTTACTTGTGTTTCATTATAACTGAGAACTGAGAAGCTAAGGTTTGATGCAATATTTGCATGTCATACTGCCTCACATTTTCCCTGGTAATACACGTAAATAAAAATGCCTACATGCTACAATTGCCTTATAAATAAGCATAGAACCCATTTTGTCTTTACTTTAAAAAAAAAAAAATTAGTTCTATGTTATTTTGTTACGTGTGATGTCAATGCAACAATTGTTTAATGACCTTTACATTCCAAGGAATGTGCAAATGACATAGAAGGCAACTACACGTATCGCTACACTGATGTTGCCAGCACTGAAGAGTTTTTTTTTCTACTGTCTGGACATCAACATAATATTTTCAGCGATAATAACAATTACTTAGTTTGTTTAGCACCCTGTATGTAATTTTGTGCATCCCCTTGACCAAGTAATGTAGTTGTCTTAGTCTGGCCAGCTGGTTGCTCTGTCCATAGGTTATAGCAAACAGAATATTCACTCAGATGCTACATATTAAGGTTAAAATAGTTAATTTGATATCCTACATGTTTGTATTATATGTATGAATAGCTGTTAAGACTTGATGTGTAAAGAACCCAACATTATATTTTATATTATCAGGTAGACTGAAAACTGCACATGTACACCAGCCGACTATAACTGGTAAATAGCTTGCTGGACGGTATTTTTAGTATGGGGCATTTATGACACAATTACCCTGCATGTGGCCCCTGTTTTTTTGGCATGTGGTAAAGGAAACTGTCATGGTGCAAAATGGAAATTTTACTGACTGGAATACCAAAAATAAGTTATAAAACAATATTATATATCTACTTGTATATTATTATTTCCATTTACCTACACACTTTGAACTACTTTCATATCCAAAGACTCGACACTGACCCATCTTCTATTATAACCTTTTGACCAATGAACAATGGCTGCAAATGAAATGTGCTAGAAGTTATGTTAGATACTTTTGGTTTGCATGTCTTCCTTTTTGGAAGTTTTCTAGCTATGTAACTATGTAGTTAATCGTTTTTGTTAATGATGACTTCTACTGGTTATAAATAAAAAAATGTTGGTCCATCATTGTAATGGAGTTGGTCATTTAACCTCATTTGGGCCAATGAGGGAAAACTAATTTGAACATGAAAACGTAACGTGAGCTGGATAAATATGAGGAATATGACACAAAAAAAGCCTCATCTTACCTTTCCTGGTCTGAAGATATTTAGCCAACATTGCTCCAAAAATGGCTTTTTGGTCACCATTTCCATCAATGCGCTGGAGGGGCTTTAACTGGCCTGAAGAGGAGGCACGGATATGTCGTGGGTGCTGTAATATGTTCTGCTGTTCTAGTTCACGGGCCCCAGGATCTTCATTCATAGAGCCCACTGTTTGCTGTCCCGTGGAACTTGCAGACAGCACAGCAAGTAGTACACAGATGCATATTCCACTGTACATAGCTAAAGGAGAGATTAAATACATTCCTTGTCACTTGGCTTAATTATCAATATCATTAAATATCATAATTACCAATATTTTGACATGATTCCATTTTGACATCAGTATTTGATGCTTGAGAATCAGTAAGCAAAAGATCAAAGCTTTGCACTCTTCAGAAAAAGCCCCAGAAATATTTTTAAAGTAACATTATTTCTTCATTATAAAAGATACTACAAGCATACACTAAACTATAGAACCATTGTGTTAAGAGGATAACTTAATGTAACTAAATGATGACGATAAAATCCTGGAACAATAAGGCAAGTAACATACAATATGATAAGGGCATGTATAGTATATATTATGGCACAGAAGTGCAATCCACAGCAATCTACAGTCAACAACAGATATTTATCCTTATTACTACCAGCTAATACCACGGCTAATAAGTCTACATGTGTAAGTTTTTGTTTGGTTTCGAGTGCTGCCTAAACATTATCTTGCACACAAAATTAAAGGTATAGGCTGGACAAATTAATATATACTGTAAATGGATGCGTAGATGTCAAAAGGGATGAATGATTACTTAGATGGTCAGAGAGATAGAAAAAATAGTAAAAAATAGCAAAAAGGATAATGTATACTTCTGAGTGTACCTCTCACAAGTCTTACATACTTAGAATTGGTTTAGGTTTATCTAATAAGGGAATAGTACATCAATATCCATTACATTTCAGCGCCAAAAGCATCCTTTCTCAAGGGTTACAAAAGTATTCTCACTTCCAACATCTTGAAATCAATTCACATAATTACCAAATTATATGGTGGAAATGTAAACAGATTTTGGAGCTTAGACCGGCTTTGACGTATGAAATGTTATTATGGTTTAATATCTGAATATTGTGTCTGAATATATGTCTCATCACCACAGAAAGGTATATGGTAAGCATTGAGTTTGTGAAATGTACAGAGAATGGAGAAGGTGGATGACTGCTTTGCCATTGCAAGCCTTTACTTAGTAACATTTTCATGTACTGTGTAGTCTTCCATCGCAATTTTTTTAGGAAGAAATCCTGTAATTCGTAATACCAATATATGAGGATTACAGTAACCAATATAAAAGGGCTAATTAGCAAAAGCTAGAGCAAAGAAAACCGTACAAAGCTGGAACAGCTGCCTATCTTAACCAGTCAAGTTGTATCTACAGCAAAGAATCTGGTTGCTCTAAACAACTGCACAATGTTTCAGTTTTATTTGTTCCATAAACAATCTAAAACTGGCATTTAAAAAAGGATCACATCGTCATGGCGATAAATATTCTTGCAAATCTTATGTCCTTGAGCTATCCTGTTGAAAATAGACTGCTACCTTAGGGTAGTAATATGGCACTGTATTATATTGCCTACAAACAGGTTGATGGTATACTACCCAATGACCTCAATATGTTAACTTTAAGTTCCTTCCATCAAATCATCAAAAATTCTTAGTTGCTTTCTGAAATCACGTCACTCCCTGTATATGGCTAGCTTCCAGCTGAATACATTCAGGTAGCAATGTTTTGTTGTCAAAACACGCTTGTAGTTCTATAGTGTATCTAACAAAGCATCGTCACTTGGCATTAAACTGAATACATATTTCTCTTTCATTCAGTGCCTCAAAGTTAGCATTATTGTCAATAAAAGTAAATCAACAAAACAAATGTATGCTAGAATATATATAATATGATTGATGATATGTTTGTTGATAGCAATTGAATTCCAGCAGAGGCTGATTCATTAGAACTGGAGAAAAGAATATACTAAGGAAAGTGCAGCAACAAGTAAGAAACCTTGTTTAATATTTTGCATACAATGAAAGCTGATTACAACAACTCCACTTTTACTGCCATTTCTTTCTGTTTTATTGAGTGGTCCCCATGTGCTGTCATTTTTGTACTTGCTGTACATGGCAAACCAGCATCAAAGTTTTACCGCTGTAGTGGTGGATGAGAATCCTTATTAGAAGATACAGTGCCTTTAGTACATGTATCTCCCTGTTTTAGATTTGTCCATTGCTTTGTCTTTTAGGTAGTTTCCAGATACTATTAGCACAGCAATGTGTGGCAGAGATCCCTAACCTTCCATAGGTTACGAGTCACATCTTTACATGAGAAGGGCAGGTTAGCCCCAATCAGGATGGATAACCACATTAAAAGCTAACGTATAAATTGCAAGCATCTTAATGCAGAAACGTCTGCTTATAAAGTACATCTGCTTTGTGTCAAGCTTCTAGAAATAGTTTCATTAGATGTTAGAAAGTATTAAAGAGCTGCAAGGTTTCTGCACTCATCAGCATCACCATAAGGAAGCAAGGCAGCCTGCGCAGAGCCCCGATCTGTCATTCCTGCCCTGTGTCTGTCTGCACCGGCAGATCTCTGCTTTGTAAAGTACATGCTGCCAAAGAAACAGTCCAGAGTCACAGATTACTGCAGTCGGTCCACACTTTAAATTTAGCAGTCGGTATCTGTCTTGTATATCCAGCAGCCTGGATGTATAGAAGTTAGGAAAGGAGCACATGTGGAGTACAATGAGCAGAGGAGATGCTGCTTACCTTTCAGGCAGGAGCTGCTTTCCTAGACACAGGCAGGAGAGGGCAGTGCTCAGAGGTAATGTGCTCCTACTGCCCAGGCTGTCGCTTTTATAGTAGCCCTCGCTGTCATCTGTTTGCACAAGCTGACGCAAACCAGGGATCACCACATGCTCAGCTGGATGGCATCAGGTCATAACAAATTCATTTCACTTCAAGAGAAACGGAGTCCAAAGCTAGAGCCCTTCAGTGTGCACTTTTCTGTCTTTTCTCTTATCTATTTCCCTTTCCTTTATTCCCCCACCACGTCATCTCACATTTACCTGCACTGGGCAATCAGCTTGAGATGACACTTTTTATCATCTTTATTCCCCCTAATGCTACAGTCTCTGTGACTGTACAGAGACCACAAAGCTTCATACAATATACGGGATGGTGATTGCATTCATTCCTGACTCTGTGCCTTCTCCTGGGCTCTCCGGATTGCTAGCTGGAAAAGACTCTGTACATTCTTTGCAACGTTTAACAGAAATCTGTATTCTATACAAGAGTTACTTATTATTATTATCCCAGTGCCCTGCCAATATTTAATCACTCCTTGTTTCCCTGCAATGTTTATATGCATATATGATTATGGTATATAAATACCTATCTAAAAAGTACATAGTTATAGTATCCTCAGATATATGTATCTTTTATCCAGCTAATTATCCAGTCTTACATAGTTATCCTCAGATATATGTATCTTTTATCTATGTACAGCACTAATATACACATGTATCTACTTATACCTTGTGTAAATTTGGTGCATAATACAAATCTTCCTGAGTTAATGTATCTGCGAAGTGCCTACCAACAGTGTCTGCTCACCTGTCTCTCTTTAGCACTAATGTAGACCAACTCATCTGTAATTTCTCCCTGTCTTTCCACAAATTCTGACTACCTAAATCTATTATCAATGTCTGTCTGTCCCCCTGTCTACAATATCTTTCCTTCTATCTACAGTACCTGTCCTCCATATCTGTCCTCCTATACAATAACTGTCCTCCTACCTGCAGTATCTGCCCTCCTATACAGTACATGTTCTCCTATCTACAGTACCTGTCCTCCATATCTGTCCTCCTATCTACAATACCTGTTCTCCTATCTACAGTAGCTGTCCTCTGTGTCTGTCCTCCTATACAATACATGTTCTCCTATCTACAGTATGTGTCCTCCGTATCTGTCCTCCTAAACAATACCTGTTCTCCTATCTGCAGTACCTGTCCTCAGTATCTGTCCTCCTATACAATACCTGTCCTCCTATCTAGAGTACCTGCCCTCCTGTACAATACCTGTTCTCCTATCTACAGTATCTGTCCTCCTATCTCCAATACCTGCCCTCCTATCTACAGTACCTGTCCTCCATATCTGTCCTCCTATCTACAATACCTGTTCTCGTAAATATAGTACCTGTCCTCTGTGCCTGTACTCCTATACAATACCTGCTCTCCTATCTACAGTATGTGTCCTCAGTATCTGTCCTCCTATACAATACCTGTCCTCCTTTCTACAGTACCTGCCCTCCTGTACAATACCTTTTATCCTGCAGTATCTGTCCTCCTATCTCCAATACCTGCCCTCCTATCTACAATACCTGTCCTCCATATCTGTCCTCCTGCCTAAAATACCTATCCTCCCATCTACAATACCTGTTCTCCTATCTACAGTACCTGTCCTCTGTGTCTGTACTCCTATACAATGCCCGTTCTCCCATCTACAGTATCTGTCCTCCTATCTCCAATACCTGCCCTCCTAACTACAATACCTGACCTCCATATCTGTCCTCCTATCTCCAATACCTGTCCTCCTATCTACAGCACCTGTCCTCAGTATCTGTCCTCCTATACAATACCTGTCCTCCTATCTACAGTACCTGCCCTTCTGTACAATACCTATTCTCCTAATATAGTAAAGTAAAAGCGCTATGAACGGATTCTGGTATTTGAGTGTTATATGTATAAAATTACTAGGGGTGCTGCCCCACTTCAGCCGGAGGGAACTGTGGAACTGGAATACAAAAAAGGACAGAAGGGCGCCCAACCTAGTGCAGAATATTTTTTATTTTAAAAGACACAAAAGTAAGAGTGCAAAGGTACTCACAATGGTAGGTCAAACAACAGCTTGTACAGATGATTTCAAAGAAATAGCAGTTTCGGGACTGCAATCAGCCTGTGTGTCACTGCGTTGTGACGCCGTTGACGTGTTTCCGGGGTCACGCCCCCCTCTTCAGAACGTTCTGAAGAAGGGGGCGTGACCCCGGAAACGCTTCAACGACGTCACAACACAGTGACACACAGGCTGATCGCAGTCCTGAAACTGCTATTTCTTTGAAATCATCTGTACAAGCTGTTGTTTGACCTACCATTGTGAGTACCTTTGCACTCTTACTTTTGTGTCTTTTAAAATAAAAAATAATCTGCACTAGGTTGGGCGCCCTTCTGTCCTTTTTTGAATACCTATTCTCCTATCTACAGTACCTGTCCTCCACATCTGTCCTCCTATCTCCAATACCTGCCCTCCTATCTATAGTACCTGTCCTGCATATCTATCCTCCTATCTACAGTACCTGTCCTCATATCTACAATACCTGCCCTCCTATCTACAGTACCTGTCCTCCACATCTGTCCTCCTTTCTCCAATACCTGCCCTCCTATCTATAGTACCTGCCCTCCATATCTGTCCTCCTATCTACAGTAACTGTCCTCTACAATACCTGTCCTCCTATCTACAGTACTTGATACATATTATCCTGGTTTTCAGTGAAGGAAGCTCAGGTTGGCCGCACCCAGGTAATATATGATCGTTTTTTTATAGACTGGACAATTAGCTGGATAATTTCCAATCGTAACATAAAAAGAAAGAAGGGGCTTTTCAGGCCAACATCAGCGGACACATTTGTTAAAAAAAATGATTCCATCTTTAATAAATATTTCATCCATAAAAACATCAATACTCTTAGATAAAATCAATATATAAACTGTAAACATTTGGTCACATGCTGGTCCATACACATATATACGACTTCAAAAGTTATTCCAATTACAAGAAATAAACCATCAAGATGAAATAAAAACCTTATCAGGGTATCCGAATACATTAAACGTAGTCCTTGATGCGTTTCCCAAATATGAATGGACACAGCGAATGTAAACCAGCTTGTGAGACCCTTAAGATGCGTGCACAGACACCACAGAAGCCCTCTGGATAGCTATCTTGCCCCTCCTTGGGGAGGGGGGCGCAGGAGAGACAGATACATCAGAGGGAAATACAGAGGCACCGCCAGATACCACCACAATATTGATAGAACACCTGAGCAGTCTACAAAATTGAATGCCTCTTTTAAGTTTCTTGCTGTGGATCAAATGCAGTTAGCTATCTTTAGTATCTATCATAGCCATAGTACCTGTCTCTAGTGTCTGTCCTACCAACTGTCGCAGTCTCCTTTCTGCCACACCAGTCCTTGTTATCTGTCCTATCTATAGTACCTGTTATCAGTATCTGTCCTATTTATAGTACCTGTTATCAGTATCTGTCTTCCTCTCTGCACTACCCGACTTCATTATCTTTCCTCCTATCTGCAGGACCCATCTTCATTATCTGTCCTCCAATCTGCAGTACCCGTCTTCATTATCTGTACTCCTATCTGCAGTACCCTTCTTCATTATCTGTCCTTCTATCTGCAGTATGTGTCTTTATTATCGGTCCCCCTTTCTGCAGTATCTATCTTTATTATCTGTGCTCTATGATACAACCTGACTGTCTTCAGTGTCTGTCCTCCTATCTGCATTACCTATACTGTATACCAATCTGTTCATGTTGATGTTCCCGTGTACCTAAAGTCTACCTAGAGTTGTCTACTTATCTTTTTCAGCTATATATGATCTACCTGTCACCTCTCTGTCTGTTCACGCACCTTGTCTGTCTACTGTTTGTGAGTAGTGCAAAAACCAGGTTTACATAAACTGGGACAAAGAACATAAGAATGAAAGGTAGCCGGTTGCTCACAGCAACCAATCAGGCTGAATTTTCCAATGAAGCAACAAATCTGATTGCTTTACTTTTCTTAGCTTCAGTTTATGTAATTCAGCTGTTTGAGCATTCTATGATGGTATGTCTTTTACATTATTATGCAATGGCAAGTGTTCAAGAGCTTATTACAACAGTGTAATGTGATAAAATATGTAGTGTTCAAAGGTAATTATTTAAAATAGGAGCTATACGGTGCGAGAAAATTATTTCTTTATAGAAGTTAACACTAGATGAACTTGGAACAGAAGAATGATGGTGAAAGTCAACCCATTGGAAAGCAGAAAAGATTAAATTATCATCAAAATATACTTCTTAAAAAAAAATATACTTCTTTCTGTTTCCTTTCAGCAATGATGTTGTTACTTAAATGCTGGGGGTTGGCTAAGCATTGTTACATCATTATCCCGGTCAGAACATCTTTAAAATTCAGCTCTGTCCCTATGGAAATAATTAGCAACAGTGGCCAATATATTTCTCCTGGTGATTTGAAGTTGATATGTTGGACAGGATGAGTGAAGTGGACTGCTTAAGTCAAGCTTAAAGCTATCCAAGATAAATTAAATGCTGTATCCTCTCCCTCCTTGCTTAATATTGCGTAACACTTACTCTTCCTACGCATATAAAATATTTGTTTACAGACTTATATTATGTAGCTTTAAGACAAAGTAAATGAGGAATTGACATACAGTAATGTGAAAAAGTAAGTACCCCCATGTAAATTGTTGACTCTTTTAACATTAGAAAAAAATTAGATCTTCATTCAAATAAAAAGAAATATGTGTCCTTTTCAAAGCATTTATTAACAAAAAGCTCCATAGATGTAATGGTGTACTGTGGAAAAAGTAAGTGGCCTCAGAAGCTGGAATTACCTATTTTAGGCATTTTGCATGACTGCCCATCAGATTTAACTTTCTTGGATTTGAAGTGGTGGTAAATGTGGGTGTACTTATTTTTTTCTACGTTACAAATCTGCATTTTCTATAATTTTGCTTATGAGAATGAAGACACCATGTCACACTGATGTGTCATTCGCTGAAGTATCTTACCTTTATCTGTAGGTACTGTTTGAAATAGCTAATGTTTGCCTGTTCAGATATGTTGAAAGAGTCAACAATATCCATGAGGTGTACTTATTTTTTAACAT